CAATGTCAGGATTATACGGCGGATGCATTAACACCTCCCAGTCAAACTCTTAATTTTAGCTGAGTTACAAAAGATGTATGAGGTTTAGCGTTATCATGATGAAAAACCACACCCCTTCTATTAATTAATTCTGGTCGCTTTCTCTCATATTCTTGCTTTTATCTCATTAATTGTTCGCAGTAGAGTTCAGAATCGATGGTCCCGATTGGCGGTAACAGCTCATAATGAATAATGGTCTTCCAAGTCCACCATACACACGGCACTCGCAACAAGGTGGAGTTATCTCGGGTTTCGCCGCAGTATGTGAAGCCTGATCAACCGTTGACCAAGACATTTTTCTCACGTTTTTGTCGTACGTGATCCACTTTTCATCACCAGTTAACAACTTCTTCAAAAATGGTTTCATTACGCCGTAATAAAAAAATCACAAATGAGTACATAGTTCATTAGGTTTCCTTCAGTGAGCTCGTGAGGTATCCAAATATCCAACTTTTTGTGTACTCAGCTTTTTTTAAATACGCCAAAACTGTTTTGTGGTCAATCCCCATTTCTTTAGCTTCATCATAAATACTGATATGCCGATCTTGCTCCACTTTATCAAAAATCATCCATAAAATGGATGATTTTTTCACTTCGAACTTTTTGAAATACATGTATATACTATTTTGTATCGTATTTATAATTTTATAAAAGCATATCCATGAAAATTATCAGTAAATATATCACATTTTCAAGAATTTAAGATAAAATTCTTGAAAATGTGTTTCTTTGGAGTCAAATTAACATTTCAAAAATAGACGAAATTTCGTTTTCGGAGAGTAGAATAGTGTAAGTCTTGAAACAGAAATTTCGTAATGGTACATTGGCAACTGTATGAGATGGTCATAAATTATAAACAAAACAAAAACGGATTTACCCAATATGTTCGCATACAATATGTTGTACAGTTAGCCAAAATAACATTCCGCTTTACAATGTTTATCTAATGACAGGGCAGCAACGAGTAATAAGATGGTTATTTTGTAGTTCATAGTTTGACTATGAATGCCAAAGTTCAGAATACGTCAACCGTGGAATGATCAGATAAAAGTGTCTAAAAGCATGCCGTTACAAAAAAGTATAGATGACAAAGAACTCACTAATTGTAATATCTTTGCTATTGACCTCCGCGAGGTTATTTATAGAAAACGATTGGGACAGTTATAAAATACTCTGGTTAGTTATTTATAAAAGTATGAAGGTAAAACTATCGGTTGGTGACGGATTCATTGATCATTTGACGCTATAGACAATGGTGATGTAACAAACTGTAAACGTTAACGTAGACATAACAAAAAGACGAAGCATTATAAATTTTTCTCTATGGCGAGAAAATGTTAATTGTTAAAGTTGGCTTTTGTGTTTCACTTTGCATTTTGATGACATGCTTAATATTTTCGACTAAATTGCTTCTCACGTAGATTGTAGATATTGTAAGACTCTATATTAGTTTACTGTTTAATCTATCTTTAAATTCTATGTTATAAGCAGTTCGAAGTGTTGTAATTCTACTACTGCCAGGATGAGGAGCAATAAAATCAGAATTTACAGTACCTACTAGATAACATGCATGATGAAATTTAACATAAACGACATTTGACCCACGTTTCATATTATATTTACAAAAAAAAATATGATTCAAGAAGGGTTCCTATTTTTTCAGCAATCACATCATCTAAGATCTGATGACCACCGAATGCGTGCACCGCGAGACAGTTCTTTGTGGAGATCCATGGAGGAGGCCTATGTTCAATAGAGCACATTATAAGACTGAAACTATTAGTGGCAAAACAGCTAATTATTAATGAACATAAATAAAAGTGGTTGGTACAAATATGAAGTACATTGTACGCAAGCCGCATTATAATTGATTTGCCAATTAGCCACTTACATTTCCTTATATGTCTGTACATGTGCGTGTACTAACAGAATAATGCGATAAAATTAGGCGTATAAAGGTACATAATTAATCGTTTGCAGGTTTGTTTCAACGATGTGTCTCATTGTGTAATGTTAACTGTTTGTAATTAATACGAACTATGAATCGTGATTTTATGTAAATAGTTAACTGGCAACTACTAACATACTAACTGTTGTTGTGACAGCGAGTAGTAGGTACCTTTTATCATTTGCTTTGTAAATATTGATGCATAGAAAACGACGCTAGCTAAGATTATATCGCAACATTACTATTTAATTCGGATATAGTTAAATTCTAAGATGAAATGGAATTTAAATAACAACAACAACAACAATTTTCCGAGTTATCAGTCCAGCCTTTTGTTAGACTTTTTTCAAAGATTTTTCTTTGGTTATTATAAAAATAGCATTATGGATGAAAAACAGTAATTTTAACAAAACCGGTTTAGTAATTTTAATTTGTTTTTATTTCCTTGTGTATTCAATCTTGTGTGATATTTCTATTTATTTCATTGAAAAATTGTCAATACCTATTTATCTCCGATATGGAGTGTAATGAGTGTAATGATATGTGTAAAATTGTGATTATGAGGTTGAAGGGTTTCAATTTAAGTTTCATCAACCAACTTCAAACCATTTACGTATGCCCTGATTAATAAAAATATATTTATAATAATAAATCATCCGTTTGAACATATTAAGCGGTCATCTAATCTATTACAAATACCTTATTAATTCAAAAGCTTAGTAAATAAAAAAAAAATATGTAAATCGTCCACAATATGTCGTCTCTGACATCGACTTATGTCATCGTGTTTGTTTTTTGTCGTCGCTTATTTGTTTGTAAACATAATTGAGGTAATACTTACCAATCGATTACCTGTTACGGCCGGTAACAATGCTACAGGATTTGTGTGTTAGGTATTTATATGCTATCAGATCGAATAAGTATTTACATGACAAAATTAAATAATAACAGATTCCTTTATTATGCTATTTAAAACGTATTTTCTTTCTTTCATGTTATCATAGAGCGTAATATGTATTTGGATATTGTTTATTCTGATGTAGTGTAAAATTTTATTTTGTCTAACTAATTATAATATAAAGCATTAAATTATATGAATTATTTCCTAAGCACTGCAAAATATAAACTTCATAATATTCCTTTATTAATCTATCGTATGTTAATAGTTTCGTATTTCCCCAAAAAGGGTAACAGTCTCACAGTGTTGGTAACACTGTGATCGACCGCCCGTCACCCCCCCTCTTTACTGCGGTTCAGCTGCGGGGCGCGGGCGGGCGTCTGCTGTCAAATCGAATTAATGTTTTGAGTTACGATTCGCAATAGTTTCACTCGTAAAAGCTTTTACCGGATTGATTTAGCATATTTATATGAATTTGTTAACATTAAAATGATGATAGACTGCGAAATTAGCGGTGCCTATCATAGAAAACAGTGCATTTTTGTGAGTGCCGATAGAATCACGAATACAGTGGACTTCAGTTCTATTTTTGTTTTGTAGCCTACTTTTAACGTAAATATTGTGTTTACTGTCGCAATATGGTTCTGTTTCTTACTTTTTAGTCTCCTTATTAACGGCAACCAATAGACCGTGAAGATTGAGTTTCGGTTGCTGAAATTCTGTTTCGATATTGCGATATTCGTTACAACGGTGGTGCAAAGCGCAGTGCCAAATGAAATCAATACTAAATTAAATATTTCCTTCGCCAAATTAAGTAATAAACGAAAAGAACTTTATTTTATTAGACACGTATTTGAATTTGAAACATACAGTGTTAGTGCAGTGACAGTTAAGTTTTCTAAACCAATGACATTTTGAACATTTAAATGGCAGATTTTTTTGTGAAATTGCTGTATTTTAGTGTGTCAAAATCATGAGAAGAGTATTCGGAGTGTGCACCGATGGTTGGATGCTCTGCGGTCACAATGTGAGCTGTAGCTGGATATAAGTGTTGTGTGTATGTCATTTGTTTTTTATTTGTGATAAAGTTTGGTTATTGTTTTATTTTATTAATTAAATTAAACTTGCATGACTCACAAGGTAATTATTAGTAACAGTTTTGTAATCATTTAAGCACTGAGATAAGTGCATGAATTAGATGTGTCATATGAGAACTAATGTATGTAGCTTTATATAAACATATAATTTATCAATTTGGCATTCACAATGCTATATTGATATTTATCTTTAAGAATAATCCTTAAAAAAATCACCAGTCTCAAGCATTTGGGTCTGGATTTTGAACATTTTAAAAAAGAAAATGATAATTTGTATTAATGAGTAGGTAGGGCCATGGATCATATCATTTGGTATTTAGTATTCGGTATCTTTTTTACTATTCATATTCAGCTGAATGATTCGGTTTTGGTGCCGAATATATTTCATTAGAGTGTAGAACTAAAAGGCAAAACTTTTTATAAAAAATTTATGTTATAATACAAGTTAAGAAATCTTATGAGAAATGTGTTTAATAAAAATAAAGTAATGTAGAGAAATAAAGAAACAAATTTAAAATATATAGTTCTGTTATAAATAACATAAACACCTATTATCAGCGCTATCTAATTTAGTATATGTAAATAATATTCGATACATTTATTATAATGACAAATCAAATAAATAAACAATGATTGCTATGGTAATGTTTCAATTCTCCATAAAAACTTCCACTCCCATTTGCATCCCTACAAGTGGTGGTTATCAGTATATGATCGCTATTGTCTTAAATTTCTAACCTATCACGTGACCTAAAGTAATCATATAGGCACTTAAGTTTAGTTTAATCTCAAAAACTTCTATGTACTTCTATATATTTTTATCATCCTCTGGAGATAGGTCACAATCCTGTCTTTATCATAACCTGCGACACATCCATTAATTTATAGAAATAGCCTTTGCTGCTGCACATTCGCACAGCACTCCTATATTTATCTCACTAAACTTAATCAAGTAATTGTTTTTTGTTTCTTAGTCACCCTACTTTCTTTAGTTTGTACCTAAAATTTATAGTAGATAATGTATCACAAAAACGATGCGACATCAGCGCCTTTTACTGAGACTTATATGATCACTTACTCTTGGCCACATCATGAAGAAGTCATACTATCAGCTGCCCATATTGTTAAACGCAAATCATTCAGTGATCTGGCTAGTCCACATCATGATGTGGACAGCAAGACTTTTCTATTACATGAAATGGTTGGCCGCATCACAAATTGGTCAATTATACGATCTGACCACGACATATATACTTAACCCTATAATACGGTATTTACAAAATATCAATGAACAAATGTAATAAAATAAGATTTGTGAAAATTATCAACTTGAAAATATTAGGTCTAGCAATACTTATCCTCAATAAATTAATTGCTGATGAAATGAAAAACATAAATAATTGCAATTACTTTAAACTAAAGTCAGAGCAACATTTTAATGTTTTTGATTTAAAGCCTGCGTAAAATTTGTTGATCAAAATAATAACGAAATAATACGAGTATACTCGCCATCAGCTGGCTGAAAAGTTATTCTAGGTTAATTTTCTAGGCAAAAAAGTCTGCGATTAAGAATTCATTTAACGCCATCTAGTGTTTTTCATATATAATACATATATATTATAAAAATAATTTTTCTTTCTTTACAAAATTACTTGAATTAGATTATTTTTATACATAAAAATTTCAAAAATGTAATATTTACTTAACTACCAATTTTCATCGCTATACAATAAAATATTTTGTAAATAATATTAGGTAAATTTATTACAATGACAAATCAGATTGTAAACAATGGTTGCTGTGGTAACATTTTTATGCCCCATAAAATCTTTCAATCGCATTTTTATCCCTTTAAGTGCTAGTTTCGGGATAAAATATAAACTACTCAAATATCAATTTCATCAACATAGGTTCATAAACACACATATTTTTCACGCTTTTTGACTCCCATTGGGATGGAATTTCCAAAACCCGTTCTTAGAACACCTCTATGTATTAAGGGGACTGTTCCCTCCAAATTTCAAGTTTTAAAACCAGCGGTTTAGGATGTGCATTGTCTGTCAGTCAGTAAGTCAGGACATCTCCTTTTATATAGGTATGATTAGATTACATATCACGTCACAAAAAATAGGTAACGGGACTCTTATTTTGAGTACTTTCTGTTTAATTTTTTTTATTTACTCATAAAAATTTGGGGACCTTTGGGGGCCCACTTGGCGATCATGTAATACATGTAAGCACCGATCTCCTTTAAACATTATACATTCCATTTTCAAAAGGATTAAGATAATTCAGTCCTCAAATAGAACAAAAAGACTTATTATAGTCTCATTGTTCACGTCCAAGCCCTTATAAATTATTAGACGCGCAATAATCTCCAAATGTAGGTTAACATCTGTCTTGAAATATTTATTGTCCATAAAAATGTGCTTCACAATATTAGACTGGAGTCCCACTGTGCGACCGGCGCGTCACTGTTGAACGACGATTCTTGATTTAACACGTTTTAAAACTATTAAATAAAATATAAACTGTGGTAATGTTCATAAATAATTTGAAAAATATTAATTAAACGTTAAAGTTGAAAAATATGTTTATAGTTATTTAACTAGGTATTTACGTAGTTTCATCGTTACGAAGATGCGGTGAGATTTACTGGGATATCAAAAATTCAGTGAAAGCCGCTTATTCTACATCTATAATGTCATTTTACGTTAGTCCCTGCAACTCGAGCTTCGACATGTTTATATATGTAAAACTTTTAATGATCAATATGATTCGTCATTATTCTCGGTGTGAAAAGAAATTAAGCCTGAAACTGTATTAATTCTTAGCATTTTTCTTTAGATTTTCTTTCTTCTATTGACAGGTAGGTATATTCGCTATAGGTATAACGTGTTAAATAACGCCAAACAGGATTACGTCTTTTTTATTTAGACACAAAAAAAATCCTTTACCAACGTTCATTGCACATTTTTGTCACGCAGAACTCTTGACAAAAATGTGCAAGAGCTTTCGAAAGCTTGATATTCCTGGATGTTGAAGTACTAATGGTATACACTTGGTACCCGCAATTCCGCTATCCAACTCCACTTCGGGCCCCCTGGGAAGCCTCCCTCTTGCGATCTTAACCACCGATCGCCCGTGTTCCTCGGCTCAACAGCTTTAGTCTGAAAAGAGGACTGTGAGAGCGGAAATCCAGGCAGGCGAATAACAGTAGACGGACCCCACGGAGGGCGATCACATGCTGCGAGTGAGGCAATGAAAATTTCGAAAAATCGTAACACATATTAAATTCACTTTTTAATAGTTTCAAATTGAAGAATAACTTATTCTTAATATGTATAAAAAAGGAAACTAAATGGCTCAATTGCACAATCGCGCGTAAAACGCGACGGATCTTGGAATCTCAGATCTCGGAAGTTGGTGGGAAAATGAGCTCTGAAAAAGAGTTTCGTAATAGTTGAAGGTTAATTTATTACTAAAAATAAACTTGGCTAAACAAATTGCTGATTGCAGTCGGGGAATCGTTCTGGGGAACATTTGTAATAGGTAGGTAGGTCCCCTGACCGCAACGAGAATTTTGTTAAGACAAGTTCTTTGTTACTTTAATATTACTTTTTAGTGTTTTTTGGAGCGGATGCTTTTTATACTGTATCATTTTAATGACTGATGATGATATTCTTTAATAGAAAAATGAGCACCGCCATTTAAAGAATCTCCGTAAATCTTCGCACGTATCATATACTGACCTCTGTTAAATTAACATGTTAAGGGGCACGGTCAAACGTATTAAACACGTGTGGGTAGAATATGGGTGTCGTTCAGAAAATTGAGCTGCTTGCCGGCAACTATTTGTTTGCTATAAATGTTTAAATATTATATTTAGCAACTTCCTCACCAAGTCAGTATCTGCAAGGCCTGCTGTGCACTGCCCGAAGACAGTTTCACATTATAAACGATAACAAATATTGCAAAAATCACCCTTCTACATGTGTTTTACCCCTTCACGTAGCATATTTTGGAGTCGTGTGACAATCTATACTAATATAAAAGGAGATGTCCTGACATGCCGACTAACAGACGCTAGCTAATTTGAAATTTGGAGGGTACATTCGTCTTATTGCGAAGAGGTGTACTAAAAAAGGATTTTTGAAAATTTCACGCCGAAGAGGGTTAAAAAGGGTGAAAACGGTTGTACGAAACTTCTTTTTTGTTTTGTTACCTATATCGATGAAAATTGGTATTTGAGTAGTCTAGGGAAGGTAATAGTTTATATGTTTTCTCCAAAAACAAATCTTAAAGGGATGAAAATTGATGTGGTAGTTTTTATGGCAAATCAAAATGTTACTATAGCAACCATTGTTTACTAGGGTTCCTAATTATCATTTTTTTTTTAATATTTATTATTTTGTAATCTTATATTGTATAGTTTGTTTTCGTTGGTTGTGCTGTTTGTAAATAAATAAACAAACATAACCTTTAATTTCCTCGTTCCACTTTTAAGACGAGCAGCTGAGACGGCTGTGAAACCAACAAGCAGAAATGGCCTCATATCTACATAATATTGTAAAGAGATACCACTTATAAATATGTTACATTATTACGTCACATTGCGTGGGTTCTATTATTCGTCCGCATAAATTACGTATACTATAAATCTAGCAGTGAATGAGCTACCGTAGACTATGACGACGCAGTGTTTTTACATTCGCTAAAAAATAACCACATAATTTCAATATTTTCAAACATTAACAAGAATAATGTTGAATATTTAGAGAACGTCGATAAATAGGTAATTGTTGGCAAAATTCTTTTATAAAATGCAAGTTTTGATTGTTTTTACTTGCTTTTTAATTCTAAAGCTTTCGACAAGCTACCATCTTAACCGGTCAAGTGCGAGTCGAACTCTCGAATGAAGGATTCCATACCATTATCTATAGACAAAAAAGTCGTGTCGGTTGTACGGGAGCCCCCATATTTTATTTGTTGTTATAGCGGCGACAGAAATACGTAATCACGGTTCCTGAGATACAGCCTGGTGACCGACAGACAGACAGGCCGGACAGCGGAGTCTTAGTAATAGGGTTTTTGCCCTAAAACCTATTCAAAACAGATAAAGCCTTTCTATTGCGTAAACTAGACTAAAATGTTTAGTCCTGTCAAACTGCGTTTTCAGTTGTGAACAAAACAAAGTGAGTGAGTAAATAACATGAGTGAACTAACTATGAGTACACAGGAGTATAAATATATTTATTTGTTTTAATGTGACTACATATAAGGATAAATCAAAGTCTAAATAAAATTGTGTAGATTTATTAAGATTAGAGTGTACTACAAAAGAATTGATTTGTTATCAACAAGCGTAATATTCACTATCAAATAAAATTGATAAAATTCACATCACACCCAACATTACCGCTAGTGTTTGTCAATAGTGAAATCTCAACATAAACAGTTTCTTTCGAGTGCCTCTCGAGATAAAGTACAGATTAGATCATCAACAGCCATCATTACGTTTAAAATGTCATCCCACTTGAGACTACGTGTGTTCGTACTATGAGTGTAAATGTCGCACGTGTACATGATTACTTACGAATGAGTAATTAAGTATCTAAATGTACTATTTACTAATAAGATAGAACGGAAATATTATATTTGTGATTAGGTACACTGGGAATGTTAATAGTGTGGTCTAAGGTGTTTATTCCTTTTACAGGGATCTCCGCACGGATCGGTGATGTCGTGCCAGTCACTGGCGGCGCGTGCATTCGCCGAGCCAGAGAAGGATAGCATGACACACTGTACCACCTTCCATAGGTATGTAATGCAGATGATAATGATAACGAAAGTATGATCACATATGTACCTGTTAGGAAATACCTTACTATAAACTCGCCTAAAACTACGCTACCCTTAGTAAAAAGAGGTTACCTATTGTGCAGGTTGCCAGCGTCTAGTGTATTTTGTTCACTTTGTGTTATATATAATAGTCTGCTTTTTAATGAGTGTAACAAAATGAAATGAAAGTATATGATGTTTGCACAGCGCCAACATATTTTTTTTATATTTAAATATGCTGTTAGAAGAGCTTTTGAAATGTATTCTCAACACGTTTTGATCTACCATCCCTTCGAGATTTCTTCTATCTGGAAAATAGTGGTATGGGCAGACATTGGGGATAGAATCATATTCGATCTCGAATTCAGATCACGCAGACGCACATAATAAAGACTGTATATCTAATAAATAAAATAATATAATATAAATATCCTTCTGTTTTCAGATCTGTACGCTTCAGTTCAGAGTCCCGAAGTTCGACCAGAGCGTCTACAGAAAATGAATGTAAGAGGGAAACGCCAGGTGAGTGTATTTCACGTTAATATAGATTTAGGTTGAGGGAAAAGTCTTTTCGCTTATAGTATGCAAAAATTTGTAATAAAATCTTTCTAGCTATAGCATTTGAATTCTTGTAATGCTTATTATCGACAGATTTTTTTTTGCGAATTCCATAGTAAAAGTCGTTCAGTATGCTTAACTTATCCACTCCACGAGGTCGTGGCACAAAATAATCTGCAACCTAAATAATTTTTCCTACATACATTTTATTCAGAAAATGAAAACAACTTAAGAAGCCGTATATTGCATAATATTGTTTTTACGAAATACTCTGCCCATCTTAAGTTAATATCATTGTTGTGTCATTTGATAGCTGGAATGGTAAACTAATCCAAATAAATATTATGCTTATTTGCAGATTTTGTAGTTAGTTTTTACCATTCAAATTTCTGAAACACGGTGCGCTTGTTAGACGGCGTTATAGTGTAATAATTGTGATAGGTTCCATATCGCTGACGGCGCTCACCATGACGCCGGCTGTTTCACAAACGTCGGCGATGACGCAGTCCGCGCCGCCGGCTTCAAACACCTTCGACATGGCTGACAGTGTAAGTTTTAATGTTTTTTAGGGTCCCGTATCCAAAGGGTAAAACAAGACAGTATTACTAATATACTTCGTTGCCTTTCTGTCACTAAGCTGTAGGTATCTCATGAATCGTGATAGTATGCCAGTTTTATGATTCACACATGATGAAATACTAAAAATCAGAATAAATAAATATTTAAGTGACATTTGATATTTGTAAACTTCGTTATTGTGATGTTTTCTAATATTTATTTCAGCCTGCTCCTTCATCCACCAGTTGCCGTTTTCCCAAGTTGGAGGAGTGCGCTCACTTTCACTACGAGCGAGTATCCCTCGGTGGACTCAGTATAGAAGCGTTGCCATGTGATGAGAAGTGTGCAGACCCTGACGAAGGTAATAATTAAGTTTTGTGTTATACCCAATCGGTAGTAGTATTTATTTTACAAGCCCTTTTGGATAGTTTGCAGAGTTTTTTTTATAATTCTTTCAGATCTTCTTTTAGCTTAAAAAGATGAATGGACCAAAAAAATATTGAATAAATAATTATAAAATTTACAAAAACCTATTTCGTTAGAATTTCAACATATGACACACTCATCCAAGTGACTGTCATAACTTAAACCCAAAATTGTTGATAAGTATCTATTTCAATATAAAATTTAGGTAGATTTAATTGTTAATACGAGTATTATTCAAAATTTATTTTAAAAAATTACATTTTTTTTTATTTAACAAGTATTTTTCGTGTAATATCATAATAAATAGGTACGCGTTTGTACAGGTTGGATTCTCGTGCGGGTGCGGTCGCACGTGAACTCGTCGTGCGAGGACAGCGGCGACGTGCGGACGCTGAGCGGCAGCTGGACCGAGCAGAGCGACGTGAAGGAGTGGACGCTCTACAGGAACAGGACGCATCTGCTGCAGCTGGACGACATGCTGCACAGGTGATGCACTCACACTATACACGCTGTACACGAGTGTTGGCTAAATAGGAACAGAACGCATCTGCTGCAGCTGGACGACATGCTGCACAGGTGATGCACTCACACTATACACGTTGTACACGAGTGTTGGCTATATAGGAACAGGACGCATCTGCTGCAGCTGGACGACATGCTGCACAGGTGCTGGATGCACTCACACTATACACGCTGTACACGAGTGTTGGCTATACAGGAACTGGCCGCATATGCTGCAGCTGGACGACATACTGCACAGGTGATGCACTCACATTATACACGCTGTTTAGTGACCAAATTCAAAGCTCGTGTAATAACGCTGAGTGACGGCTGGACAGAACACCAATTCTAGTTTAGTAACAAACAAATTGTTTTTATTTGCATTGTATCAGAGATTCGTCAGACAGTCACGCGTCGACCAATATTTGTCAATCAGTATACGTTACAATCATAGAATGATCTTGGAATGGTTGAATTAAAAAAAAAACTTTAAATAATTATTACTAACACACACAATATATGTAAATATGTAACAATTCTATTTAAAATTTTACTGTAAAACATTGTATACTGTGTGTAAGATTAAGAATGGTTATTGTGGGAAAGTATGAAACTGGTAGACATACGGTCAGTTGCACAAACATCCATTAAAGTTTAATGACGCCTTTAATCTCTAAGGAATGTCTAAATTGCATCGGTAATGACGCTTTACACTAATCACGACAATCAATTTTAATGGACGTTTGTGCAACTGACTGATAGCTACAAAGATGTGTTTTTAGGAACCCCATGATCGATTTTAGTCAAAGGAAAACATGCATTCATAAATTTAAATTAAACTACTACTTTGATATCGATTGGGTAGTTCTTAAGCAGTTAATGTTACTATGAAGCATAATGTAAAAGTAGAAATTATTGTAAGTTTAAATTTTCAAAATGCGTGAAGACATGAATATGAGTTCAGTTTTTCATTTCACTAAATTCTTAGCAACACATCTACTTATGTTTTGTAGTTTCGGCCTTCCCCATACTACATTATTAATGTTACACACCGTATTGTATTATACATAATAGCAATCAAGAAAATTTCGAGATAATAAAAACATAGTATTATGTACCTTTTTGGTTTTTGGCATAGTGATGTGATGATGTATAGTGATGTTCAATACATGTACTTGTGTCCACAGATGTATCTACGACCGTAAAGTGTCCGGTCTGCCGGATTTGAAGCAATCTCCTGTACCCGCCGAGGAGGATGGGTGGAGAAGACTAGTGGCAGATTATCTCCATCACCTGTCCATCATAGCTGATGACGCGCTCACGTGCGGACCGCTGCTCAACTGGCTGCAGATGGACAATAAGGGTACAATGATTAGTTACTCAACTTTTTTGGGGAAAAAATATTTGAAACTTTTTCATATTTACATATTGAACCACTATCAGATTTATTTTCTACAAAATGTTTAATTATTAAATAAAGGAAGCATATATTAATTTATTAATCGGTCATGTGACATTTCGAGCCGTGACGTCACAATTCAATAAACATGAGTGCTCGTTGTAATGGCCACAAAAATATTGACGTTTAGTTTATTGAAATTTGACGTCACACGTTGCTCCGCCATGGTCGTTCGCGTTTCGGTTCTTGAAATCCACATATTATAAATCGCAAGTTGCTATTGTTTACATATAACTCACCATTTCCAACATATATATTGCATCACTTTTATAACTGCCTAATTACTTATAGGGCATTCTCACAATGCGAGCTTAGAGTAGCGAAAGCTAACTGTTACCTATTTTTGCACTTTAAAATCTGTTATTGTTATCAGATTTTTTTAAAGTTAGGACGTTTTTTGTTGAGTTTTTATTTGAGGTAAAATTTATTATTAATATTAGATTTTTTATACGATTATGTGTGCGGCGGATGGTTTTTTTATTATTATTTTTTTTTATCAAAATGTATGTTTAGTACAATAACTCAAAACATTTTCAATATAAATTTTTATTTTTTGATATCATAAGTGTTAAATTGTGCTGATAATAATTTAATGCTTTTTTTCAACAGGACACAAATTGCTAGTTTCTAATGAAGATTCAAGTTCCATAAACACACCAGCCGTAGCCGCAGCGTACTCTGTGAGGAAATATGTCTCGCAGGTTTGTGATAATAATATTTTCCACCTCTTTACCGGTTACTATTTAGTTCTTTTTTTTTTTTGTATATTTTGTACATTTTCAACCATTATTGTTTTAAGTGATAATGATTTGCGTCAATTTAAATCAGTGTCATATTATTTATGGAAGGTCCCTATGACGTCAGATACTAGATTTCAAACTTATTCATCGTTGAATTAACCAACCAGCATAAATACCACTATTTTTATATAGACGTAATTTTGTCAACAGGCTCGAGACGAAATCAGTTTTGAAGTGGGCGATATGATCTCAATTATTGATATGCCCGGTGAGTGCAGTTTAATATTTTATTTACTTGGTGTATTAGATTTTTATATATATATATATATATATATAATGTAGCAATACTTTCATAAAAGAAAACACAAAAAATTATACTTGGTTCCCGCTTTATCTAATCAGTTGAATCTACATTTATTTATTGAATTAATAAATGTTGATTCAACCGCACGTAAGGTTACAAAAGGTCAAATTTGTTCCAATAAATTCAAAATTGATCATTTAGATTTAAATTTCAGAACCAAGTGATGTGATGCCATGTGTAAACATTAAACAACTCAATTCATATTGTCCACTGCGGATATTAGATGTATTAAATCATTGGTGTTAATGTAAAGTTTCCTGTTTACTCATCGATTTTCCCACTGTCCAGTGGATGCTAATCCATTTAAAAGTAGAGAGTTCTGAGGATAAGTGTAATCAATAAAGAACTAAAAAATGAAGTCCGCCATTTACAATAATTTGCAAATAAATAAATAAATAAATATAGATTACACTGACAATCGTTATCATACGAAGTTCACAAACTATTTCAATATTTTTTCATATTTGGAAAACATATCACTACTGATATGTTTTCCCTATAAGGTAAAGAGATTATTACAATGACAGCAACACTGGGCAGTGTCCTATTTGTAGGTTATTTTATCAAGATAGTATTGAAAACTGGGAATTAATGTACGAAAACTAGTTAAAAGCAGTAATTCGTTATTTGTTTGTAAATACAATTTCATTTCAGTTTTTTACTTACAGTAGTAAAAGTGCCTGATTCACTTATTTGTGAAAAGTCATTTGTTTTATGGTTTTTTTGTTTGCTGCATCTGCTGCAGCTAAGTACGCTACACCCACATATATTCTACTATTTCATACTTTAACAAAAGAAATAGAGTTTATTTATGGAAGACATTAGATATTAAATAACAAAATTTTCATGCAAGATCCAAAAAGTTCTAACTCTTACCTTGGCACACTATGAAAGTGTGGCAATTCAAAAATGTGTTACTCGAAGAAGAAGAAATAATGACGTCATATTATAGAGCACTGAAATCAAGGGAGTTTTTTTTTTATATACGAAAACTGTAACACTATCTCTTGACAGTGAATGCTAACGAACATGCCGCACGGCCTGTAATATAATATTTGTTGTAGGTCCAAATGAATCGTTATGGTGGCGCGGCAAGCGCGGCTTCCGCGTGGGCTTCTTCCCGCACCACTGCGTCGCCGTCATTGGGGACAAGGTGCCGCGCCACATGACCCAGCCCCCGCCCATCGTCGGGTGAGTACATTACGCGGGCCACGGGGGATTGGGTGACCGCTGCGTCAACGTCATAGGGGACAAGGGGCCGCGCCACATGACCCAGAACATCTACTCAATTGTGGACACGACGGTGAGTATCAATCAATATAATGTTATCCGAGTACAGAAATTCAGTTACAAATTTTTCACTACCGAGACTGCCCTATTTACTACTTGTGTATATCAGGATGACATCTGACAGAAGGCTTACTCTATAGGGGTGCACACAACTTTTTTTTTTTTATTAAAGAAACAAGTTTTAAACGGTTTTGTCGCGTAGTTAGATTTATTGATCCTTTTCAGGTTCCATAAGACTTGATTGTCTTTTGGTTTTAAAGTATAGCTACCTTCATAAACAAATACTTTTGGCCACTTTGATAATACATTTCAATTTTCTAAATTTCCCGCGTAAACGCCACTTTTGTCATGATGTCACGGCTTTCCGAAATGAATTTCGTTCTATGCATGCATAAGGTTTCGTTCTATGCATGAATTAAGTTCTGATATGAATAAGAAGGGCGTGACATCACGCGCTGTTTGCGGTCACGTGATAACGAGCATATAATATTCTTTTTTTTTTTTTCAAAATTAGTATAGTAATATTATAAGTATAATAAATATAAAAGTGTGATTATCGGTAATACTATACTTAAATATTACCACAAAATAAAATCTTTATTTTCGTTTATTGTCTACACTCGTATAGTTCGTCTCGTATTTCGGATGAGTTCAGGTATCGAATTCTGTTTGAACTTCTTTGAATTCACTTCCAAAGTGACATCCGCTTAGGGACCGTCCATCACGTGAGGCTCCAAAAGGGGGTTCGTCAAAATCGCAAAATAATCGCAAGGGGGAGGGGGGTGTAGAAATATATATCGTATTTTTTTTTTCAAACGCACGAATTCTAAACCTAAAAATTAAGATTTTTTGTACATTCTAGAAAATATTTATGATTTGGGTGGAGGGGGAGGTGGTTTAGTCTTAAACCTCACCATGTTTGATAAAGAGGGATGGGGGGTTAAAAATGCTAAAAAAAACATCACGTGATTAATAGACGGTTTTTTAACTTGGATTTGTTAAGGAATTTTATCGAATCCATCTTATGTATATAAATACAAAACAAGATGATCGATTCAATCCTGCCTCATATAGTTTATACCTATGTCATTTCAAAACTCGTTTCACTCGTGTCACGAAACGTTAATACTAATAAATCCGTCAGTCGGAAAAATATTAGACACTTTTTTTTTACTTCGATTTAACAAGAAATAGCTTAGATAACAGGGGCTGTAGACAATGTGCCAAAGCGTGACATGACGCGACATGTAAACTCATCACCGGCCCCTGGCGTCGCAGTGCCGCAGGTGCTGGTGTCGTGCGCGGCGGCCATCGAGGCGCGCGGGCCCGTGGACGGCGTGTACCGGCTGTCGGGCGGGTCGGGGCTCACGCAGCGGCTGCGCGCCGCCTTCGACGCCAACGCGCAGCCGCCGCCCGACCTGGCCGCGCCGCCCGTCGCGCGCGACCCGCACGCCGTGCCCAGTCTGCTCAAGATGTACTTCAGGTGAATATCACACGTAAATGCAAAAAGCGACCTTATCGATAAGGTAGCTAAATACGCACAGTACGCTGCTGCGTATATAATATTCCTGTGTTTTCAATGAATCTAAATAAATAAATGGTATTGATATAATTTTTCCTAGTTTTTGTATTAAGCTAGCGGACTATTGTTCTGCCTAAAGTTCAATTAATGAACAGATTTAGGATTAAAAAAAATAGAAGTACAATTTTAAAATAAATTATTAAAAACATTCTTGCAAAAAACAAACAGATTACCGATAATTTAAAGCAAACCCTAGACAATATTAAATGTGAAGTCAGTTGTAACAAACGAACGTGACCCGTCACAATGATTGTGATCTGACAGTTACGTTTTATTATAACACATCATTATTCTTTTATTATTATTATTATTGATAAAATAAGACAGATACAAACCAGTCCTGCACTTTCTTTTATATTCAGAGGGTAAAGGAGAAAAGGGAGCACCATCGAGTTTCCGTCCCGCTTTTGGAATGATAGATCCGGGCCTGATGTAGTCAGTCTACACTACATAAGCATTGTTGTAAAGTATTTACGTTTTTATTTGCAGAGAGCTTCCGAATCCTCTATGCACGTATCAACTTTACGAGAGTTTTGTACAAGCCGTCCAGCAGGACGAGGCCAACAAACTGAGGGCGGTCAGAGACACTGTCGTTAAATTGCCGCCGCCGCACTACAGGTGAGTCCACTTAACAACTTACTTCATTAAACCGTGCCAAGGTCGTACTATGTATCTATCAAACACGAAACGAACGATATCTTCTATGGCTAGAGCCCGACCTGACTATTAATAGTAGATTGGATAAGATTAACGCTAGTACGAGATTGTACAGAAGGAACTTCTCGTCTTAACTAGATCGGTTTAGCCTTGTACCAAAAAAAAAAGAAAACTTTTTAATAATTAGTAGTAGTACCTTATAATAAGTAAAATAGTGATTTGATATTATTAGTATAGCTTTAAAACAACCCATGACATTATCTAAGACTATTTATTTTTAATGGTAGCTAATAGTTTTTATTTTTAAAGTAAAGTAAATATTACTTCATTGATCCTTTTTGTATTTCTTATATTGTTGCCAGAAATATATAATAATAAAGATAAAACACACTATGACTGTTAGGAATAAATAGTGTTGTGTAGTATAGTGTAGTGCGATTAAGCCGGATCTGATTTTTTAACCCTGATACAATATAAGCAACTTCCGTTTCAAATGGAAGAACTTTATCCCGTCTATACTTTACAGAGTACCTTAATATTACCGCCACGGTAGAAACATGTGATATATGTTAGATAGAGTATAATATGTGCGCAGGACCCTGTCGTACCTGATGCGTCACCTGCGGCGCGTGTCGCTGTGGGGCGCGCGTACGGGCATGACGGCGCGCAACATGGCCATAGTGTGGGCGCCCAACCTGCTGCGGAGCCCGCACGCCCACCACGCGCTGCACGGCGTCGCCGTACAGGTGCCACACATATACACGTACACGTAGCGCCCGCACGCGCATGACGGCGCGCAACATGGCCATAGTGTGGGCGCCCAACCTGCTGCGGAGCCCGCACGCCCACCACGCGCTGCACGGCGTCGCCGTACAGGTGCCACACATATACACGTACACGTAGCGCCCGCACGCGCATGACGGCGCGCAACATGGCCATAGTGTGGGCGCCCAACCTGCTGCGGAGCCCGCACGCCCACCACGCGCTGCACGGCGTCGCCGTACAGGTGCCACACATATACACGTACACGTAGCGCCCGCACGCGCATGACGGCGCGCAACATGGCCATAGTGTGGGCGCCCAACCTGCTGCGGAGCCCGCACGCCCACCACGCGCTGCACGGCGTCGCCGTACAGGTGCCACACATATACACGTACACGTAGCGCCCGCACGCGCATGACGGCGCGCAACATGGCCATAGTGTGGGCGCCCAACCTGCTGCGGAGCCCGCACGCCCACCACGCGCTGCACGGCGTCGCCGTACAGGTGCCACACATATACACGTACACGTAGCGCCCGCACGCGCATGACGGCGCGCAACATGGCCATAGTGTGGGCGCCCAACCTGCTGCGGAGCCCGCACGCCCACCACGCGCTGCACGGCGTCGCCGTACAGGTGCCACACATATACACGTACACGTAGCGCCCGCACGCGCATGACGGCGCGCAACATGGCCATAGTGTGGGCGCCCAACCTGCTGCGGAGCCCGCACGCCCACCACGCGCTGCACGGCGTCGCCGTACAGGTGCCACACATATACACGTACACGTAGCGCCCGCACGCGCATGACGGCGCGCAACATGGCCATAGTGTGGGCGCCCAACCTGCTGCGGAGCCCGCACGCCCACCACGCGCTGCACGGCGTCGCCGTACAGGTGCCACACATATACACGTACACGTAGCGCCCGCACGGGCATGACGGCGCGCAACATGGCCATAGTGTGGGCGCCCAACCTGCTGCGGAGCCCGCACGCCCACCACGCGCTGCACGGCGTCGCCGTACAGGTGCCACACATATACACGTACACGTAGCGCCCGCACGCGCATGACGGCGCGCAACATGGCCATAGTGTGGGCGCCCAACCTGCTGCGGAGCCCGCACGCCCACCACGCGCTGCACGGCGTCGCCGTACAGGTGCCACACATATACACGTACACGTAGCGCCCGCACGCGCATGACGGCGCGCAACATGGCCATAGTGTGGGCGCCCAACCTTCGTTGTAGGACAAATAGAATAGGCGCTCAGAAGTCATGTCTATTCTTACGAGTTGTAATGCTAATAAGTTATTTGTTATAGGCGGTGGTAACAGAGTTCTTGATATGCTACGCTGAAGACTTGTTCGCTCAAGAACAGGGCGCTGACTCCGGCGACAGTTCGGGCCCGAACTCGATAGAACTGGTCAGTTTATTTTTATTTCTTTTACTGCACTGACTGAAAATTCATCATTATTCACATCATATGCCGGCCATTAGATGATCTGGATCGTAATCGTATAATAGTTGCGGATTGATGACAAAATCAAATTATCTGAATAATATGCGATCCATATCAGTCAACAAACAAACGATCAATCTGATTAAGATCACAGATTGATTTGATGTCAAATTGATCGTCTAATCTATTTTAAAAACAGGTAAAGAATAATGTGAAATAACATTACTCTCTTTTATTTGGCGTGGGTTCATAGTGTATGAAAATCTTTTAACCCTCGGGTTAATTTTGATGTCCTTTTGAAATTCTTATCATAAAAATATTCACCTAACGCCACTCGGAACGGTATGTCGATTGATAACGGATTTCTCCTTTATTTTGGTTTGAGAAGAAAAAAAAAAAGAAATATAAACTGTGTACAATTTATTTATAAATGAAGTTTTTTGAAATAACAATTTTAAAATTCAGTTACAATTTTTATACAAGTTACCAATTAACCTATTACAAATTACCAATTACAAATTACAAATTACCAGTTACCCCCTTAAAGTAAAAAAAATAAAAGGGTATATTTTGACCTTGGCTTCGCTGCCGTACTCAGAAGGAGTACGGCAACACAACAAACCGGGGGCTGTCTGTTGTCCTACGGTCTCACTGTCCAGCGTTATAATTCGTAGACATAAAATAATATTTATAACACTTAATGCTACTAAACACAATAATATTTGGGCACAGCTCAATGTTCAGCTTGTCTTTTGTTTAAATAAATTTAATAAAATTTCATCCACCTCAACAGCGAAACAATCAGGTCTTCCTTTTTATTCAGCTCAGTAATGTAGGTGGGTCAAACCACAGATACCCATCCACATGGAGCGATATAGCATTTACATACGGTTACTGGTGGTACCGTCAACCTGTATCGGACAACTCGCACCAGGCAGGCAGTACAATACAGTCAGGACAATACAGCCAGTACCAGACAACCAGTACAATACAGCCAGTACCAGACAGCCTCTCGGTTTGAGAGACTTCTCTTCACTCTTAGATGATCAGCAGAATAAAAGGAAAGACAAAGCCGGGTTCCGACTTAAATACGATTTCCATTTCCATTCGACTCAAGCGACCTGAACAGCTGTTAAATGAAGCAACTCCGTTTCACGGACAACACACAATGACTACAAATTTTGACCTTTAAAAATTTAATAGGAAAAATACATAAATAAAATATTTATGTTTTATTGAATTGAAAATAAAATTATAGGACACATGCAAATATGCATGAAAAAACTGACAAAACCCTGCATACAAAGGAATATAACTAGGTGACAACTTCACACTATTGCTTTATTTTCTTAATTCAACGTTCTAAAACCTGAAGTCTGATTTAATAATTTTGTTATAACAAAGTTTTCTAAATAGCCGTTTATTGTATTCTTAATGAATTTATTGTATTCTATTAAAGGAGACCATATACTACTTATTTGTTATTAAAAATTGGGAAAAGAAATTTAATTTGGAAGAAAATATAAATATGTAAAGGTAAGTTCTAAGGTTAATTACGGCTTTCGGAACGTACACCAAGTGTCAAAATAAATGCTTTGGTGTTTTGTAAACAATAGGTTCAATTTTATTTTGTAAAATTAATAAGGTTATCTCTAATGGAAGCAAATGAGAAAATAGTTAAAGTTATAATTTTAAGACAAACTAATGGTTCTATTTTGTATCTTGGTGGTTGATAGATTGGTAAATACGAGTGGAAGGTTGTCACCGGTTAAGGAATAATGAAATGAAATTAATAAAAACAATTTTGATGCCCTAATGGCTTTATCAGAAAAAAAATGGTAAGTTGACATCCTTAAAACAATGTTTAGAAATCACAATATATTTGAACATTACTAGATAATACTAATAGAATGTTGTGAAAGTTAAAATAAAACAACATCTGTGACGGTGCAGACGTGGCATGTTACGTTAAAATTTTTTTCATTGCTGATAATTATTGATTATTTAACTGGTGTACTTTCAATAAATCAATGCTCTACTCCTCTTTTGAATGAACGAAAGAAAGGTTTTGTCTTGTTATGTAGGAATTCTTGATCAGCTCGATCTATTCTTAGATCTATTTTTATCTTCAGCTTGCAGTCTTAAGGGACGTTGAACATTTTTACAGATCTAAATTTGTGCACGTATTTTTGGAGTTATTGTTTTGTCTTCTTTAACAACATTACAGGCTGTCTGTTTTTATTTAACAGGAACGGCGATCGCCGCCACGTTCAGATTTTGACTCTAACCGTAGGCCGAAGAGTCTTCCACTGGGGCCACCGACAAAGTTACTGAGGTGTGTAAATTATAGAGAATACTACACGCGTCTTTATCTGTATAGGTAATGTGACATATGTATTTAAATATTTTTTTTTTTCACTATAAAATGTTGCGTATATCACGCTTCAAATACGAATATCTATTTTCGTATAAAAAGTGGTATGCCTCGGTAACACTTGCGACGTGACATATGAACAAACAAACTGATTGCTTGAAGTTATTAGATAGTTAAAACGTTTGATAGTTTCATTTGTTTATTCTATCATATCATTAAATGTACGGGTTGTGGTATAGCTTAGAGGAGGCGCGTCGTCGCGGTAGAGCGGGCACGGGCTGCGGGCCGGAGCCCCCCGCGGCCCCCGCCCCCGCCCCCGCCCTCGCCTCCGCCGTGCAGCTGCGCCCCTCCTCGCACCTGCGCCCCAAGTATATAGAGGTAACGTCACTACACACACGCACACGCGCGTACGCACACACGCACGCACGCACGTACACACATACACACGTATACACACGCATACACACGCATACACACACGCACTATAACTTTAATACGAATTACAATATGAATGTATTTCAAAATGCTCGAGGTATATTATGAATTTTGTTTTGTCATCAGGTTGGATCTGGTCCAAACAATCTTCCCCAATATCACACAGTTCTCGATTTGCCCATACCTGGTAAGTTAATTTTGTAAACATAAAATATAATTAAACATAGTTATATAAGTTACCATTTATAACATATTTCATATTTTCTTTTTCTACTCGACTTATCTAACTACTCTCGTCAGGTAAACGTGGTGTGAAACGATCTCCGTCAGGATGGCGAGGTTTGTTCTCTCGCTCTAAACACCGCGCCACAACCCCACCGCCCCCGGTACAGGTGAATTATATTATTGATTGATATTGCTTTTACACCAATACACTTAACTTTTATTACCATTTGGAGGTCCCCTCACGACTAGAAGCTGGAGGCGGAAGGGGCGGACCGCCTTCGCCCTCTTAGTCCGCCACTGTTTTCTTTATTAAACTATTATGCTATCATTATATTATTAGATCATAGTTATTTTCTCTATTTATAATGTATTGATCTGGTAATGATATGGTTTCGTGAATGAAAATTAGTGCTGGTGAGTTTTTTTGCACCTTTTTATCAGCGATATGACGTCCTTAACGAGTGGTAGGGGAAAAAATGTTGGGTGATTAAAAAATACTTTTAAGAAGGCAATGTAAATAAAGATTATTTTGACTTTAACTATGGCCACCATAGTCCGTGTGGTTGGTTGGGTACTTTAATTATTTGTATCAAAACACAGACTGGTCAACTGGTCAACATTTATTCCAGAAACATTTTAAAGTAGCAGTGTGGTATTGCACTATAAGATATCAAATTAATACAATACATGAATATCAACGACTAACACTGTTTTTTTTCATCTATTATTATCATCATCATCGTCGACTCTTTTACGTCCCAATAGCAGCATTTAGGCCTTCCTTATGAATGATTAAGGAGGATGGGTCAAACCCATTCACGCAGGGCTAACGCGGATCGGGGAGTAATAACGTTCCAAGTAGCTCGTAGACAATAATCGTGACCGACCCTCGCGAATGTCACTCAACAACAACTTATCCACTACGCCATCGAGCAACTCTATACGTTCTTATAACTTTGTTGAAATCATTAAAATAATACCACCGAGGTCTTTGTGTATTTATATGGTGCGTTGTGTCGGCAGCAGTCGTCCGAGTCGCAACAGGCGGAGGGGTCGGGCGGGGGCGGGGGCGCGGCGGCGGGGGCGGGGGCGGGGGCGCTGCGGCCGGTGAAGTCGTGCGAGTCGCTGGCGTCGGACACGGACACGCTGCCGCCGCTGCACGCGCGCCCCGCCACGCACCCGCTGTACAGGCAGCACACCAGGTAACATTGGCTCGTAATGGCCACTGGCCCGCCACTGCGCACGCGTATATTATAGCCTGTGGCAACCCCGTGTGTGAAAGAATTTTTTAAATCGGTCCAGTAATTTCGGAGAACAAACAAACAGTTCAATCTTATATATACTAGTCTAAAGCTTATATTTTTAAAATAAGTTCCCGAGTGTGAAATATTCGAGTACTTGATTATTAGTTAGTGTGTAAGAAAGTTAGTTAAGCAATGCGATCAGCTCACTTACCGAGTACACCGCCTTTCTTGTATCTTGATATGGGGCCCCAGTAAGTAGCCGCATCGATAGTTAGGTCGCTGGAAGCTTTCATCAACTATAAACACTTGTCGCGAATTTAGCTAGGTTTTATGAAACGGATTATTATTAAATTTTATAATATGCCAGCTGTGCGAGCGGCGATCGGAGAACTTCTCTCTGTGTGTATATAGGTGGCAGCACTTACAACGTAAAGACATACGTTTCGTTTTGCGTAGTGGTGCGTTTTGTTTAGGGCTTGTGAACCTAAGCATTGCATTATAGAAACAAAATGATGATAAATTAAAACGAATGCTTTGTGCTAATTTGTAATATTACAGCTAATGAATAATACGGAACAGTTAGTTTGAACTGTAGTAACTAATCAATAAACAAGTGCAAGTATCGCGGCCGCCCAAAACGGTTCATACAGACTTAAGCATTTTATCGAATCCCCGTTGTACTATCTACCAAAACTCCTACATTGTTTAGTGTAATGTCTTTCTCATACGTCGATGGTGACAGATATATAATTATATTTTACTTCAGGTAGATAATAAAATGGTAAAATGCATGACACTGGTATTTTATTGAGATGCGATGAGAACTGCTCTGCAGTTTGTTGACTTAAGGATATAACGTGTTCATATTTGATTTCATTTAAGACGTTTCGGATCTTTTCCAAGTTCCGTGTTTGTAATATTATTATTTTAATAAGTATGAAAGTTTCTATGTGATTAACTTTTGAACGTTTTTGATGCTATCATCAAACGATATTTGTCTGAAATTAGCTATGCTCTCCATTATAAGTAAACGATCGCCATCTTAGTCTAAATGTCTATGTCGACGGAGTGGGGGAACGTTCGCGCATGTGCACTTGGCAGCAAATAGCGTGCACTCCAAACTCAATGTTAAGGATTTTAGATTACAGTTTACGCTCTAAAACGTAATAAGAAATAGTAGTAGCATGAAGTTCGTGAATATCTTTAAAATTATAGTTTGAAACTAATTGGGATAGATTTTAAAGTTCTAAAATGAGTGGTAGTTTTATAATAAGTCTGTGAATGTACATGTGTCAGGTCGTCGTCGTGCGACTCGTACTTCGAGCCGTGGCAGGCGGAACTAGCGGACATGAGACTGAGACTGTCGCCTCAGGAGCGGGACCTGCACATGTTCAGCGAGGAGGACGACAGGCATGTCGTCGCACAGGTATATATTGTTTACCACCTGATATTTGTAACGATTTGAGATTAAGTTTTGTGAAAAGAAAAGAGAATTTAATGGAACAAAAGAACTAAATACAACATGTATTGAGTATTGAATATCAGCAAGAAAATTATCAAACCCACTGGCAACATTGACCCGAAGTGGCAAACTTACTTACTAGTAATTTCGGATTTTCCCTATACGTTACTAGGAATATTCGCACGCTTACTACTTTTTAATTATTTTATAATAAATATTATAAACACTACATTTATTTTACATTTTTGATTTAAAATAATAAATGAAGTCACTTAAAAATAGCAGCTTTTGTTATGCATGATATATAATCAAAGATCGGATATTTTGATATTTTTTATAAATATTGGATATTTACGAACCCTGTCCAATAAGAATTTGACGAGATTTATAGCATGAGATTAAGATGGCTGTTTGACAGTACTATTCTTATTTGTCTCGCGCAATATCCTCGAATTGATTTTCTTAATTATTTAAATCTAATATCAACAAGATGTTAATAAAAAAGCAGCCTCGATTCTCTAAAGGATTTGATTACGCGAAAGTATACGCTGGCGTCACAAACTAAAAATACGTGTATATAAACGTAAACAAAGTTGTGTGCACGTGTATATTAGTTATTTAAGATACGAGTGCGGAAAGTAAGGTTTTACGAATAAGGGCCAAATTGATCAATGGTTTTCATTGGCACAAATTCGAAAAACCTTTTACGCTCAAGTTTCTTACAACATTTTTCAATGCTTTTTGCGAGGAAATAAAACAAATATATAGGTTAATAAAACTAAGTATGTATTAAAGGTAAAAATTATTTGTTAAAATTAAACATGATATTTGAACATGTTTTCGTGTCATACATTTTTATTTGAAAATATTCGTTCTAGGCTCCTTGAAATACTTTTGCCTCTAAAGTTTGACATATTTTCATCAATTATTTTTAAATTTCTTTGGTGCTCGGCTAAAAAATATTTAAAAAATACTTTTAAGCACTGCACACGTATAAAGGATTTCAGTACTTTTTTATTTAACATGTGTTTAAAGACTCGCTTTCGGTATTTACAATGGATTAAAAAAATAACGCTTTATAAGCATCTGCATTGAAAATATATATATACAGGGCGACTCGGCGGCGTCCAGTCCGCCGGGCTCGTTGTCCAGCGCAGAGCCGAGTCCGCGGCGACAGCTGCTGCGGATAGACATCGACGCCGCCAACGAACTAGCTGACAGGTATATATATACTTATATACATATAAAAGTGGGAATCCCGTTGCCACTCTGTAAAAATCCAAACCCGAATTTGAATTCACTAATTTAGTGTGGACATTCTATTGATTTAACTTTTTTTGTGTAGAATAGAATAAGATTTTTATTTGGCGACACGCATCACATACACAATTTATCTACAGTTTACAATTAGGACAGAAAAACTACAAGAAATAACAAAAAACAAAAAAAAATGAATAGGACATAGGACATAATTAATGTGTCATGGTGTGTGTTGCCAAGCTGGCCTCAGCTCAGTATAAAGCAGTAAGCGGGGGCTTACTGTACTGATATACTGCAAAGGCCAGCCGGTCTCAAAATACAAAACAAAATTGTTTGAATATTTGTGTCTCAGATATTCTATTTCGATGTCGTTTACGACCCACTTTACTTATGACATGAAACGTTACTACCAATTTAAAGTCGAACCGGATGCCGCTTTATGAAATTAATTCGACCACCTCAGTGGATTCGAATTCGGGTTTGGATTTTCACAGAATCATAGGGCAGATTTTAATGCGGTTTTATCAATATACAGAGGGATTCAAGAGGAAGGTTTACATGTATATAGCTTTATCTATATATAACTTGTATAATAATAAATATTAGACATCATATTGCTCGGATTCCAAGATAATTAGCTAAAGCCCTCGTATTATTGAGTGTTTGAGACAATTCCATTTCAAGAGAAAAGTCCAATTTCTATATTGGTCGTCAGGTTCAATTTTGTAAGCACAATGCTATCTTAAGGGGACGTAAAGGATTAGCTTATAGGTTAGAGTAGTCGACGGATTGCAAAAGGTCGTGGATTCGAATCGCATCTCAGAGTAATAGGGATAAAGTGTATTATTTAATTATTATAATTAGATTTTTTTATTATTTTACACAATTATTGTGAAGTAAACTAAACTTTAGAAACGGATAGATGCAAGATAGAACCCTACATTTTATTGCTGCCTGCCATAGAGGCACATGATGCCGAATTGCGGGATACTTTTTAATTAATTACCTGCAAGAGGTGCTACATAAGTGTGGCAGCTAGAGTGACTCACATATTTATTAATTTTTCCTATAGAAAAGGATATAATTATATTTTTTATGAAAAATGCTTAAAAATCCACTTTGTCTTTGGCATTCTTAGATGGGACTCGAACCGCTGACCTATCGCAAAAGTAACAAGTGCTTGAAAAATTCTTCAATCGTGTTAGGTCTTGGGCAGCTTATTGTTTACAGCAGTCGCCCGAATTGCGAAAGGGGCATGGATTCGAATCCCATCTCAGACTGCCAGGGACAAAGTGGATTTCTTAAGCATTTTTTAAAAAGAATATTTTTAAGTATAGTATTTTGAACGCAAAATTAATTTATTAATTATAACAAGAAATGTTAAAAGTAATAGATTTTAGGGACGATTTTGTGTCACGTTTTGGCCATTAAAACAACTGTACCTATTTTGTTTTACTTTGATCGTTTTAAGCTGTTTTTTTTTTGTGTATAATTTTGAAATAGTTAAATAATAATATCTATTAGAGTTTTCTTACAGTAAAGTTATATATATATATACCGTGGTTGTGTTTGTTATGATAGACAGCGTTGGGTGGAGGAGGTGTCCCGCATGGGGTACATCGACGGCGACTCCCCGCGGCCCCCCGCGGAGAAGCGCCCCCCCGCGCCCCCGCCCGCGCCGCCCACCACCACCAAGAGGTACACTCGACACCACGTCACCGTATACAATACACCCTAAGTAAATGGGAGATGTATAAGAGATTCGATTGTGTGTGTGTTCGTAATAGCTGATATTCGTTGTATAATGCATGAAGCATTTTAGTTTAAAAATGTGTTAATTTCAAAAGACATTATTGGTCAGGAAAATTTTGATAAATAGTCAGGGAAAAGTCAGAGATTTTTTTTGATACATAAAGTGGACATCCTGGTGATTATCGGTAATAGTATATTAAACACTACTAGAAAAAAAATATATTTTCGTTTACCGTCTACACCCGTATTATTAATATTTCGGTTCAGATTATGTGTATTTTTACAAAATAAAATCACTATCTTTTATACGCTCAAACGTGGCAAGTTACGATTGGCTAAATATGAAAAAAAAAGGAAATGAAAAATGACAGTTTTACCTGTGTATTTTAAGATTTACCAATGTTTAATGTTCAAAGTCCGAACTGTTATGTGATCGTTTAAATTTCGAACTTTTCCATCAAGTACTCGGTAAATCTTAAGTTTTACCTTACGAACATAGTATTGTCGATAGACAACTCTAAACATACAACACAGAGATTCATTTAGTTAGATTAGTATGATGTTCTGGTAAATATAATTCATAATTAAATAGATGCGTTGTTTGTTATCTGATTAAGATATATTCTAATTATAATAAATAATGTTGTAAAGTTATTTTCATAATGATTATTAACATTTCGAGATAATTAAAATTGAGAAATATACCTTGTCTTATTCTCTATCCATACTAACATTTATTCTGTTGAACCTAGCGTGTTTTAGTCATAACGGTAAAAGCCCGGAATGGCGTCTCTTTTTTTTAATTATTGCATTTACTAACTAACGTGTTGGTAAATCCCAAGATATACTAGTAAGTCCTAAGATTTTCCAACATGTGTGCTTTTAAAGTAACTTATTGTTATACATCGATTTACTATACTCAGTAGTATTTGAACCGAATTTGAATTTGAAAATACGAAATTGAATAATAAAATCAAATAACGTGTTAATATATATTATAAACAATAAATATTTACAGGTTGTGCAAAGACAGAGAGAGTCCCATATCGTCTCTGGTCGATATACCAACACCGTTGAATACGGTGAAAATGAGGTGAGCATACTAATATACTATAGTGCATATATGCATGTATGTTGATTTTCTTTATTATTAACCCTAAAAAGAAGCCGTTTTATTATAAAACTAGGACTTAAATTAGTACTCGCAAAAAACCATTGGCTACCGTAAGCAAATTGACAATGACAGAATAGTTAACGTTAAATTGAGACCTGTTGACTTATTTAGGTCGGATAAGGTGTTAAACCTGATACTAAAGTTGGTCCTCGTTTTACATTAAGACTGTAGATGAATATAACATATGAAATTGTCTTCGGGATAACCTTATTTTGACGAGACATCATTTGTATTTGGTTTTTTTTTAAGTGTATTCATGATCATGAATATTGCGTTGTTTTTTTTTCTAGTCCTATTATTTTATATCAGTTTTTTTTTATAATTATTGTAACTTCATACAGTTACAGTTGATACCTGTCAATTCCTTCAAATGTTCTTTCACTGTTGCTAATATTATTATGTAAATATTATTGTTTATAAATAATAACTAACGATATTAAAATTAACTTCTTATTAAAATTTTAACCCTTTCATTGCGACGTCAACATAAAAATAATGCATTTCTCATAAACATATTTATCACTTTATATTATTGTTTGTAAATAATAGTGTGATGATTTCATTTGAATCGTTCTTTAATACACTACGGGACGGAAATTATATGCCACATTTTTATCATGACTCATACGAATTACCATGACATCTGGAGCCTTATTAGTATTTGGCCTCGAACGAAAATTAGGAAAATTTTGAAGCATTCTTATGATTTTGTACAAATCATATCCGTGAAGAAAATCTTCGCATCAGAGGCAGTGTCAAACCCGTATTTCTTTGGATAAGCATTTCGAAAATAGACGAAATTTCATTTACGAAGAAATAGAATAGGTGTCACGTTAATTCGTATGAGTAGTAGAATTGTGATTGTATTATTATTAAATAAGAAAAAAGTGTGATTTCAATCAACTAATTTTTGATACTAAATTAACATTAAAATCAAATCGTCCCGAAGTGTATTAAGGTTATCTGTAATGTAATTAATTAATACTAGTGTAGATTTTGTTGGGAATGTTAGCACTTAAGTTTCATTCAGTAAAAATAAAAACCTTACTGACTAAGAACTTCATTAATCATTTTAATTAGCTATCTTTATTAGATTTAAATAATTCTAATAATAAGCATTATAAATTGATTTAAAAGTATATATTTCTATATCAGGCAAAACAGAAGTGCAGAAATAAATTCTTATTTGCAGTATTAAAGCTTCAATATTTTAAACAATTCAGTAACGAACATTGCTGCCCACCTAACACAATAACATTTTCAGGGAGAGAAATTCACCAAGGAAAATTAAAAACTCGTCCCGCTACAGCGGCTTACACCATCCGCTGAACCTCGAGGAGAAAAACATGAACCGTCTCTCTTGGCACGGCAAAGACCATTCTACTTTAATCAAAGTAGACTGGCCCGTAGAGAACTCGTCCGTCAGTAACTTGACCACTAGCACGCTAAACTCCACCCCCTTAACACCAGTAACACCTGTTTATGATCCGTTAGAAAGCGACTCGGAAGTGAGCGAGACGAACAAACGCACAATAAAAATAAGCAACTGCGATAATTGCGAACAGGAGAAGTGTTTGAAATGCGAATTGAAAGCGGCGGACAGCGAGATAAATGTGGACCCAAAAGACAGTCTGGATCCCAGTCCGATTCATTCCACTGACATCAGTTATCAGAATTTGAATAGACTGTCCGCTGTGTCGACTTCTTCCAACTCTGAGTCGGATAAGAAGAGGCAATACGAAAACTGTGACGTCATGAAAATCATGACTTCATCCCACGAGAGCTCTTCGAGCTTCTCCAACGCCAGTCTCACCAAACAGAGCGACGACTATGAAACTTTTAACTTCAACCGACCGAATTATATAAATTTACAATCGTCGTCAACTTCTAAAAGTTCACCGGGAAGCCCTCTGAAAAGTCCTCTGAAGTCTACTATAAGTATAACATTCCGTTCGCCCACTAAAACTAAAACTCCTGATTATGAACCCATAGATAATTTAGATACACCCACCAATGATAGAGATTCTGTTTACGAAGACATTGATTTAGAGAAGAACTTGTCTATAGTTGAAGAGGCTAGTGTACCGGAAACGGACGCCTCACTGCCGACTCAGCAAGCTTGCCAACCGGAAGACTTCAAAGATTTGATAATTTTAGAAACGCCTACTGAACAAGGGATAGACGTATACAGCCAAGTGAAGTTTTTCAAAAAGAGTATAGAGGAAGTGAATGCTATGCTATTAGAAACTCCAGAAAAGGAATTGCATTATGAAAACGTAGGTTTTAAACATAAAGAATACGAAAATATTAACGTCGACGCGTTGAAAATCTGTGATAAAGATCTATCTATTAATATAGATAATAAAGAACCTAATATTGAAAAAGAAAACGGGAACATAATTAAAGTGTCTAATTTAAATGTTAGAGAATTAGCTAATAGGTTCGAAAGTCCTACGGAGCAAAAAGGTCCGTTCACTTTCGAAAAATTCAAGGCAGAAATTAAATACCCTAGTTTGGAAAGGAAAGAAGAAGACAAGAAGATTAATAAAGAATCTAGAAAAAAGGATTTAACCATTAAGCTACCTCCGCCAGTATCACCAAAAACCTATAAGTTATCAAAACATTCCTGCAACGCGCGTTCGTTAGACGAAAACGCTTTCATCAAGGAGTTTGGAGACGATAAAACTTACGTGGACAGAAGAAAAAGTTTGGAAGTCAAAGAAAAACAGAATAAAGTGTTACCAGATCTGAATTTGAATATAGAAGAAGGTAAAACAGAATGCGTCACACCTACTACGGAGAATAAGATATCTTTAGTTCAGAGATTCGAAAAGCGACCGACCGATTTAAAGGCTTTATTGAACTTTGACACCGAGAAGAAATTGAGTAGGGAACGGATAGAGAAATATAAAGAGGAGAGGAGGATTTTTTTAAGAGAAAAGTATAGTTCGCAGTCTTTCAGAAGTAATCCTGAACAATTGACTAGAATTAAGATTAAGAAAGAGCAGGACAGAATAGAAACGTGCGACAGGCTAAAAGAGGAATTGCCTAAATTCGAGAGGCGGAACACGGTAGATTTAGGTCAAAGAATGAGATTCTCGCTAGCGAAAAGTGTGAACAATTTAGATACTATACCGTCTCCCTCTAGTCCAGAGAAGAAATTAGAATTGAAAAGGGACGGGGAAAGTAGTAATGGCGCTGGTCGCAAAGAATTTGATAGGTAAGTTGCCTTTTTACATATTTTAATTTAATTAACACAAAGTTGGCAGGTGAGAAAAGGGTTTAAAGTTGCATCCTGTAGTTGACAGAGGCCTGGGTTTTTGAAAATTCTACGATTTCTAAAAAATATTTTAGCAAACTTATTTAGAAAACATTTAGTCCTTTTTATTGAAACAAGAATTCGATTCACGTAGATAACTCTAGAATTAGAGAACATAAGTAGTTGTAAACGTTACACATTATCAGATAGTTTCAGTACAAAAGTAACGAAGTACACACAGCGGCATAGCAGGTCTCCACAAAATGTAACTAATGTACGCAATGAAACTTAATTGGCCACAAGTTAACGTTTAAAATGTATTGGAGAAATTTGAATTTTTATGTAACCTTACGTGCTGTTGAATGTACGTTACTATTTTTTTATCGAGTTGATTAAATACAATTTATAAATATGTTAATGAACTAATTCTGCTTTTTTATTAAAGAAGATTGTCTCAGAGCCAGTTATAAAAGCAAATGAAATGAAACATGTTAGACAGCTCTTTATAACTCAAATACAAGTTCTGTTAATAAATTAATAAGACTCTTTAACTATAATGCAATAAGGCTTTTCTTTCTCTATATTTCTTTTCGCTCACTCCATTAAAATTCATTTGTCGAGTCTGTGCCCAATCATCTTAACAAGTGCGTGTGTTTTATAACAAAAATAACAAAATACCAATGTTTATGTATTAAACACAAATACAAAATCATTAAATGTATGTAGCGTCAACAACAAAAAAAAGATTAGATTACGATTAAATCCATATAAAATAATGTTTCCTAGGACTATTCGAATCTTATTTTAATTTCGTTTATTTCAAATAAACAGCAAATCTTGTGGATGTTGGTCGGTCTTTGTTTCTTCTAATTTTGTGAATACGCAAATCACGTATCAAATGTGGAAAAAAATATTTTTATTACAATAGGTTTATAATAGTTTGACTTGATAATAAAAAGGCTATTCGTTGGTTCATTTTTGTAGGTGTATTGTAAAAACGTTGTCTACATCGCGTTTGTCTGTGTGAACGCCATTTAAAAACTTCTGTTTACACAGTGACGCTGGAATATATGAGGAATATTTTGATGTATAAATCATTGATGCTTTATTTATAATTACTGAAGTATGATTATTGGAGATGTAGGAAAAGTAAGGCTGAGTGTTAACAATATATCTAACATGATACAGCTTTGAAGTTGTCGTCGAGCGCAGCGCTGTGACAGCGTAGAACTTCATAGAAATATAACTTTTGCAGTAGGTTTTATTTGATTTTTAAGCTCTGTCACCTATATTATATTATGCTAACGTCATACTTTGACAATTAGACTGCATTGATCAAAATATTTAGACTAACTAATATAAGAAGTTTCCTAACAGTGTTTTATTTACCTTTATTGTTCAACAGGAAAGAAAAAATATCCCCTTCATATAACATCAAAGACATGGCAGCTCTCTTCGAACAGAAATCTCAAACGAACGGTTGACGAAACGCAAGCGGCGCCGCGCGACCTAACTAGATATTATACTGACTAATTAAGAAATGGCTTAAATCGCATTATTTTGTAGATAATAACTCTTGTTGCAAGGCAATAAATGTGGTTTACCTGTATCTTTTTTATTTTATCTAAGGGGTACATTCTGAATTTATAGTCGTCTATTATTCCATTTAATTAAAAAAAGCCTTTAATCTCATTTGTTTTGTATAATGATAATTTAATACAAAAAAATTATACAATCCTGATTCATTGTCGACGTTTATAGTTAAAATGTGAATAAAAAAATCGTTAACAGCATTTTGAGATTAATTATTTAAAAAAGATTTCATTGAAAATAAGATATAATTATAAATTTACATGCTTTATGGTGCAAAATTATTTATATTAAAAATTGTATAATCATTTTTAAAAAAGCTACTCCAAATATACATGTTATAATTAAAGCATATGTTCGCGCGGCGTCTTTTGCAAAATTGTTATTGTATTATTATTACTATATTTAAATAAATAAATAGTTAACTTGTGTGAATGTCGCCTGTACAGTATGAGTGGAATCTCGCTACGTTGTTTTTTTTTTATATATATAAATAACACTTGTGTATATGTGTGTACAAGGTATAATATAAGTGATTTGTTGACTTATTTATTATTGTCATTATTTTAATTGAAACTTATTATTATGCGACTAATATTAAATATTATATCACTTTTATTTAATAGTAATCATAACATCACACACAAAACGTCTAGTATTATTATTTTTTATTTAACTGTTTCTCTAAGTCTTTAGTTTTGTACAGATGTGCACGTAAGTTATTTCTTTGTTGATGTTTTTATTATTATTGTTTATGACACCTGTTCTTTTAGCAATTGAATTCATTGGTTGTACACACGATTACTGTTAATATTAAAAACAGCAATTCAAAATCTATGATAGTTTAAACAGATTTTCTATAAATAACAAACTGATTTGTATTAACTAACATTAATTTGTTTTTTTATGAATGTATTAGCGACTGTACAACATTTTGGAAATATCTTTATGTAGTCGTGTTGTTTCTATTATATATATCATTAGAATGAAATGTGTATATTTTTGTCGCGACACAACGCTATATACAAATATGTCTTTTACCATTACTACATGTATGAAACAGATATGCTTCTGATGCGTCACAACACAATACAAAAATATGTTTCCGCCTTAATACAACTGACCATGTAATATCCATAGAATGATCTTTAAAAACTGCTCTTTAAAATGGATTTTCCCTTGTTATCTATATAAATAAAATAGTAATATTGAAACAAAATAAGTTTTAGCTTCGTATACATTCAATTAATCGTCAACGTGTATGTGAAATTTGAATCATCTGCATATGAAGCTGTTGAAAAGGTTATTTTCGACCTTACGGCAAATATTATACAGTTTGTAATCTAATGTGATTTATTTAAATCAAAACTTTGCATCATTCACAGTATGTACTATAAATCATTGACATATTTATGTTGCCATACTGTAGTGGAATAATAAAAAATAATAAATGTGCATTTATTAATTATTAATAATTATATATTTTTGTAAGCAGTATTCAAGTGTTTAGCGGAATAGTTAGATATTTGTAGTGTGTCTATGATACTATTTTACTTAGAGTTGTATTGCAGACAGTCGAATGACCAATGTAAGGCAAACTATATGAGAGATACAAGTGCTGTATTAGCTGCCGTTTGATGCATCTTCGTTAAAGCTTTAAATTCCTTTAACGGGTCGATTTGCTGTTGAAAAAAATGTATCATTATCATCAGCTTACATGAGGCACAAGCTTTCCATATGTTTAGAATTTGATATAAACGAGTCATAAATCCACCTCGCAGACCCAGTGCGGATTGGTAGATGCTAACGTCTGTAGCAACCGGGACAAATGGTTTAGCGTGCCTTACAAAGCAGGGAGGGATTCGGTAGAGTAATTTTTTAAACATTCGTTTGACGACAGGCATTTGTGAAAGTTATTTACCCTATTAAATTCCTGAAATTTATCTTTCTTAGTCGTTCAAGTTGGTACCAGTAATTTTATCAAAAATAAAAGCTTTATCGAAGACCACGAGACACCAATAGTATAACAAATAATAAAGCATTGACTTTTTAATTGTCTAAATAAAATAGTATTAGTGACATAAAATGAGCACCTTATAGTGTAAATAACAATAGAACTTAATTAAAAGAACAGCACCTTTGTAAAAATACAATAAACTTCTCTGATAAAATTTCTGTAACGCTAAAGATTTAAACTTTTGCCGACAATAAATATTTATATTAAAAAAAATAATATTCTTGAAAACTCTTTGTAAATGAATAGTTCATAATGTACTGCTGCTGCACGTCAAGTTATGCATTTTTTTTTATTTGATTTAAAACTGAATTTTTGGAGATTTTAATATTTGTATTGTCTCTTTCTCACTTGTACAGAAATTGGAAGATTCGTATAACCTGACGTGCTGTTGACGACTGTACATACACGTTGGGAGAATTATTGGGTATAAAAAAATCTTGGCACGTTTGGCGCTTTTTACTCATAGGAGTCACATGTGAACGGTGACTCATTGTCAAGTCAACTAATGTCTCCTAGACAGGGGAAAAGGCCGTATAGAACAGGAGCACTTTTGAATTATTCGATTTATGAATTGTTCCTTTATCTTTCTCAACCTCAAAAACCTTTTCAGATTATCTAGATCAGCGGTTCCCAAATTTATGTCGTCCACTGCCCACTTTGAAAAAATTTAAGCGCCCCTATATTTTTCACCTACTTAAAACCACTATAACTTCAAATTGCATTAATTTTTTTGGGAGCTATATTAGCGGGCATTAAAAATTCATTCTAAGCAAGACTTAAACGGAGCGACCGATTGACATGAAATTTATTTTATTTGTTCAATAATGTTATATTGGCCGATATGCATATATAAATTACACGGAGAGAAATATAAAACCGAGTTATTATAAGCAATCGCTTTATTAATATTATTAGTTAATGTCCACAACTTGTAGTCAACGTTGAAGAATCCTCGTATATGAAATTACAAATCGCCCCCTTAAGCCTCTACAAAACGCTCCCATTTTTCTTATATTGCCGCCCCCTTTAAGCCTGCAGCGCCCACAAAGGGGTGTTATTGCACATTTGAGAAGGACTGATCTAGATCATAGACCTCCGAATTAGTACAGCATTTTATTGTACGGGACCCTTTATTATAAAAAGAGGAATAAAGTTAGTTCTTAGACAAAGAAATTGAAAATGACAAATTGTGCCTCGTTGATTTATTACAGTCGGGTAGTGGTTTAAACCTGGTACTAAAGTTGGTCCTCGTTTTATAATAACACTATATGTCGCTGACCCTACATCTTTGTACATCTGTGAAATAATGTACTGTATTACGCGGAAACGATTCAGAGGTACCGAAGTACTCTGGCGATTTGTATCAATCTTCTTTTAAAGTTCACATATTACTTATTGTATCATATAAATTTGAACTGAATAGTTATGATAATAATTCTTCCATTGTGTTAACCGTAATAATATTGTCTGTGACTTTATAAAGCTAACTTCCTTAACTGCCTTTGGAATATAACAGATAACTATTAATTTTACATAAATACATCAGTATAATAGTTAACATAATGATGAATATTGCAATAAATTTCGAATTTTTAACTCAATAAAATAATTAAAATCAATAGGACGTGTTACTGCAACTTTCTGATGCTAGATTGTAGCACTAGCATTTTTATAAATGTCAAACGCCATTCACACAGTAGAAAGCAAAGTAATATCATAGAAGCAATACATCATTACTCCATATTTGGATTTAAGAAGGAAATGAATTATTGATTTTCAAAAGACAATTTAAAAAAATTAATGCTCTTTTATTTACAATATGTGCTAGTGCTGCCATCTACGCCAAGCTATTCGTAATATTCGCTATTGGTGAAATTTGTCAGTACATTATCCTATAAAGGAAAGAAGCAGCCATTTATTCCTTTTCACACTTATGATACATTAAAAGCAAGTATATTTTTCAAATATTGATTGTGTATTACATTCTGTTTTCTCTGTATAAAAACAGAATATAATATATCTATAGCATGTTTATTATTTCTATTCGACAATAAGACATTGAGACAAAAATTGTTCAATTATAATTTGACAAAAACAAATGAGGTTTTCAACATTGTTATCATTCAATTATTATTGTGTCATTATTCTTAACTTTTTTAAGTTCATTAACCAATTCCAAACAGACTGCAGATGCCAAAAGCTTCGATTTTTACTCTATCGCTATAACTATAAGAATATAATTCGAATAGTCTGCGTCAGATACATCGAATCGACTGTCCTCATAGTTCTGATGAGCTTTTGTTTAGTTATTTATTACTTATTCCATAACCATAAAGAAATATTGTGTATGTAAATCTTAATCACATGTTTATCCTGCGGTATTTTCTGTAATAAATTTATCGAGAAGTTTTACGTCAAGTGCAACGCTCGGTCACAGCATAGAGGTTCGATGAAATAAAACCTACTTCAAGAGGTAATACAGGTTTTATTCGATATAATGGCTCATTTCGATTGTTCGAGGCTATTTTCAATGAGTTCATTTTATTGGTAGACTGTCATCAACTAATTTAGATGTTCCGAACAATATGCAACATGCATCTAACCGAAAACTCATCAAATTATCACTTCGAGTGTCACGTTTCGAACTATCTAACGCTGACTAAACAAAAAATAATATTTGTTTAAAGGTTTCGAATCCTGACATCGGATTAGAAATGAAAATAATCGTAATATTAGCTCTTATTGCGAGGAATAAGGTTCTAAACTGAATGTAGATATATAACTTGTGTGAATATTTGTGGATGCAGATTAATGGTGCGTTATAAAGATTGTCACATGAATGTAAATATTAACAAAATCATTAGTTTTCTTATCCGATGGTATGATTCTTTCTGGTTACATACCCATTGGGAAATAGAAACTGGGTATTAAATGGTGATGTACCTTGCAATGGTATTGTGCTGCAGAACTTAGCGCTTAGATTAACAGCGTTTACACATTAAAACTTATGAAACAACTTACGTCGTTTTAATTAATATTAAAATTTGAACCTGTCAGCCTTAACAAGCATTTTACTCTTCATATTGTGACGGCGAATGAATGAAAGGGTAAGCTTGTAAACTTGATTTTATTATAATGGTAATAAAGAGAAGGGTAAAGAAAATCCCCTTTTTTTAGTTTCCTGTAATATATAAACTTTGACGATATTTCACGAATATACTTTTAGATTAACATTTTTTTTTTTATTTAAATTATATAACTTAATTATATTTTTTTTATATTTATATTTAAATTTATATGATTGCATTATCATGTTCACACCAGATGATTTTTCTACGAACTGACATTCATAAAGGGCATATTGGATCAGTCAAAATTTCAAATTACGAAAAGTGAATAATAAGATCAAAGACAAAAAGTTTACATGCGGATACCTAGGACAAAATAAAAGGTGGTACGACGCACCGTTACAATATCACGTCAAAATCAAATATTACTTTATTAAAATTGATACAAGTAATGACACTTAACATGTTAATATCTTTTGTTACGACTACATTGGTTACTGAGGCCGGTGTTGCCAAACTTCTAGGTATACTACTAAAAGAGTAACTAAAACGTGACAGCTCCAGCGTGCGTCGGAGCGTTGCCGTCTAATGGTATTAATGGTAAGAACTAATGAGGGACGACAATAATAACAATATTTTCAAGTAGCATAAGAGGTAATAGATGACATCTATGTACTGCCAGATTTCATTTTTTTCAAAGTAAAAATTCACAAGTAAAGTGACAAAGTTATATCTTATTATAGAACGGAATTTAAAGCGGAAAACTTTGTATGTTTTATTTTGGAAAAAAATAGGGTACCGTTAGATATTTGGGGTTTTTTCGGACACAATGTGTTAAAAATTAACCAGAA